CTAGTCAATCATCTTTTACTCAACAATAGAACCAGTTCAATCCACAAACACAAATGTCAACAATGTTAGTAACACCTGACCTAAAAAAGAATACAAATTGGTATCCAGATTCAAGAGCAACAAACCATATCACTCATGATCTTGGAAACTTGACAATTAGCAATGAGATGACAAAAGGATAGTAAGTACATACAACAAATGAAGCAGGTTTGAACATCTCTCACTTTGGTTATTCCACCCTTACTACTTCATATAACCATGTCTTTCATCTACAAAACTTATTACATGTATCATATGTTACCAAAAATCTTCTAAGCGTTAGCCAATTTGCTAAAGATAACAACGTTTTCTTTGAATTTCATCCATCTTTTTATTTTGTTAAGGATCAAGCTACTGGAACTATCCTCCTCCAAGGGACTCTTCATGAAGGATTATATACACCTTTAGGTTGAATGCATCATCCTTTGCTATTCCTCAATCCCCATACTCTCTAGTTTGTAACTCTGTCATTTCATTTTGTAATTCTTCTATTGATATATGGCACAGAAGATTAGGCAATCCAACTTTAAACATCGTTACTCATATTCTCAAAACTTTTACTCCACATTTCCCTAAGAATAAAAAGATATATTTTTATCATGCTTGTGCCATTGGAAAACACCATTTTCTTCCTTTCTCTCCCTCACTAACTACATTGTCCCTCTTCAATTAGTAGTCTCTGATCTTTGGGGTCCAGCATATAAATCTTCTAGAAATGACTATAAATACTATATAAGCTTCATTTATGCTTTCTCCCGTTTTTCATGGATTTATTTTCTTGAAACTAAGTCTTAGGCCGTCTCTGCATTGCTCCAATTTAAAACTCATGTAGAAAAACTCTTGGGAGTCCCCTTCAATCTGATGATGGGGGAATGCAAAAAGCTTACTCCATACCTCAAAGCCTCCATACCTCAAAGCCAATGACATTGAACATCGATTTTTATGTCCTTACACGTCCCAACAGAATGGGATTGCAGAACGCAAACACCGTCACATTGTTGACATAAGCCTCGCTATTCTATCTCATTCTTCCATTCCTTTACCTTTCTGAGATGATGCATTCTCAACCTATGTCTACTTAATAAATAGATTATCATCTCCTAGTCTCAATTGGATCAGTCTCTTGGAAAAACTATTTCATCAAACTTCAAACTTTTCTTTCCTAAAGAACTTTGGCTGTCTCTACTACCCTTGTTTAAGACCTTATAACAACCATAAGTTTCAGCCTCGATCCATTCCCTGTACCTTCTTAGGCTATAGCAATATCCATAAAGGTTACAAATGCCTTTCTTCCGATGGTTGTTTATATTTCTCTCGACATGTCCTTTTTGACGAGTCTACTTTCCCCTTTAGCAAATCAGTTTCTTCTACATCCTCATCAACTCCCCCTAATCTTGTTACTTCAACTTTATCTTTTTCTCCCAGCTTTCCATCTGTATCTCTTCTATTACCTACCCTCAAACTTCTCCAACAAACTTATACTATACTGATACTCCACATTCAATATCTCCTATCTTACCATCCCAATCAAACATCCTCCCAAACCAACCCTCAGGTTCTTCGGTTGAAACTGCTTCTCAAATAGGTACCTCTGCTGCTCCTACACAAATTGCTCTTACTTATCCTACATCAAGTACCACTACTACTCCTACAATAGATACTTTGGTTGAGTCTTCATCTTCTGAACAGCAGGATGTTCCTTAGAATACAAATTCCATGATTACTAGAGTGAAAAATGGAATTTTTAAGCCAAAAGTATACCTAACTGATTATAAAGAAGTTGAAGCTGCTACTACTTGCGAAACTCTTAAATACGGCCACTGGAGCAAAGGAAATTTTAATAATTTTTTAATACGGTTTGCCCAATTTAAACAACTAAGTAAACTTTTTACGAAAAAATAATTTTAACATAAATTAGAAATAACATTTCAAGCATCCTAATTAATTTCAATGTAAATATTGCACATAAAACATTAATAATAAATTTCTAGCAACTAATATCATGCAATTTATGATAATAATAATTAATAACAAAAATTAAATTAGAAGAGGGTACAGAAAATGACACTGGAAAGAAATTTATAGTGGTTTGGTAACATCGGCCTACTCTACTTCCCAAGCTCCTCCTGGGTGTTCAATTGAAGAACTTGACTCTTTTCACSACGTAGAGTCCAACCAATACAATATTTTTTTTTCCGGGAACAAGACAAACCTGATCATTTCCACGGTTTAGGATCAAACGGTTACAACGCTCTTTTTACGAGCTCAAGAGCAACCCTTACAAAGGATTTGAAAATTGTAGAACAAACTTACAAACTGTCTCAAAGAGTAGATGTACAAATTTAAGCTCACAACTTAATTTTTACAAAATAAAGCCCTYAAATGGCTAAGCGAAAATAAACTTGGAAGCTCAAAATCTCTCCAAATAAAAATTTCCTGACAAGAAATTATAAGAACATAAAAACTTTGGAGGGAAGAAGCGTGAAGAAATGGAGAAAAATTTGGGAGAGAAAATGTTGTGAAATTTTGAAGGAGAAGATTGTTTAAATAGGGTGAAAAAAAATTGAAATTGGTTTGAAATCCAATTTAATTTGAGTCATTAGATCTATTGTTGAAAGAGATGAATGGTGGAGCGTAATTGAAAAAGTTAKAAATAATAATAATAATAATAATAAATAAATCTACCTCACCAATGACTACGATTTTACGTGTAATGTCTGCGATTTGGACCAAAATTGTGGTTATTGGCCGCAATTTTGGGGAAGTCTTAGCCATTGACCGCGATTTTATAGAAGTTCCAGTCATTGGCTACGACTTCAGTGTGACGTGACTTTAAGGAAGCCACGTTGTGGGATAGAAATTGCGTGCATCTGCTGCAATTTCTATTATATATATATATATTTCACTAATTTAATTAAATTCAATGTTGAGCGGTGATTAGTGTAGAGTCATTAATCAACCTTGCTTGAGTTCGTATTTTTTAATTTTTTAATTTCAATTTCTTTATATATCTGTCACTACATTTTTAAATTTTATAAATTTCAATTTTTCTATGCTACATTTTTTTAGTTTTTTTAATATTTTTTTATTTCAATTTCTTTTATCTCTCAGGGCATTTTTAATTTTTTTAATTTCAATTTCTTTATCTCTGTCACTACATTTTTTAATTTTTTTTTATTTCAATTTCTTTGTATCACTGCATTTTTTGTAACTTTTTATTATTTTTTTATTTCTCGTTAAATTTTTTTATTTTTCTATTTCCTGTTTTTATTTTTCTATTTCCTTTTTTTATTTCAAGTTCTTTTATCTCTCTCCCTGCATTTTTCAATTTTTTTATATTTCCCAATGCATTTTTTGTAACTTTTTTTTATTTAAATTACATTTATTTATTTTGTTATTACTGTAGAACCAAAAAATTTGGGCCAATCATAAACGGGCACGTCATTATCTATTTTATTTAGGGATTAATTATATATTAACCCTAAATCAAAATTAAAGATAATTTGACAATTAAAATATGTAATTGGTCATATGAGCATTGGGCTAGGAATCGATTTGGTTCACAATCTTGGCCCAAAACCCAATTTACCATGAAATAAAGTGGATTAATATTTAAATTTAAATAAATCCATTTAAATATTTAGAGGAGACCTCATTCATTTTGGAGGTTCAGAATTGAGAGAATTCACACCAAATTGAAGACTCTCTTGAAGACTTGAAGATTCGAAGACCAACTTGAAGACTTTGAATGCTTGAAGACTTGAAAACTTTCGAAGAACATATAACTTCGATCCAAATTCAAGAACAAGCATCTCAATCTTCACATCAAGTTCGAGAGAAAGAATCAGATAATAAAGATTAGAGATTGAATCCACTAAACAACACATACTATAAATATAAAAGTTCAACTCCACGAACTATAATTTCTCCGGAAATTTCGTGTGAAMAAATTGGCACAYCCGGTGGGACCATCTCTACCTCTCATCTCTTTCCCAAGGCTCAAACTTCTCTCAAGAAAAAGAAAGAAGAAACAATGACATCTAAGAAAACTTCTTCGAGCAATACCTCTTACACAGGACCGATCACCCGTAGCCGTTCAAAAGAAATCTGGTTAGGAGAAGATCAAACACCTCCAGCTGTTGCTAAGAAAATACTGCAGCAGATGAAGAAACCTACTCAAGTTGGGGTCGTTATCAAGGAGAATCCTTTGTTCATCGAGTCTGCTCCTTCCTCTGTTCAGTTGGAGAAAATTCCA